TTCGTAAACTGGAGACGATTCATAACAGGAACTGCATCAGTGAAAATGTTGGCAGATTAATAATACATACTTTTAAATTAAGTACCGGTAAGTTTTAAATGATAATCTTAACTTTTTAAATATAAAATATAGCTATTCTGAACATCAGATAAAATTCTATACGAGTATTTTCCCATATTTTAATGTAGGGTAACTCTAATGAAAATGATCATCTTAAACATTTCGTTAATAATTGATAAGTTCGATAACTATAAAGATGATTGCTCAATAATTACAAATTGGTAAGACTTGGTAAGGATTTCAAAGGAATTTTCGGTACAGTCTTCAGTTTATTATCATCTAGTCGCCTCGAAAAGTTAATATAAAACAGAATAACCATTACACTACTATAACGTTCGACTTATTAAATTAAATAGCATAGCATAATCTCAGGTGTTAATTTCAACTATTTGCCAGCGGCATCGGAACAGTAGTTCGAATTTTGAAAATTTCATTATTTAAATCAATACTACAACTAAAGATTGTAATCCAAGTATGCTTACCTACCTTATAAGCGCTAAAAATACGACACTAAGAAAAGGAACTAATATACAATTCAAATTGTTGATGTTAACGCCTTAGCTAGAAATTAAAATTCTAATACTAATGTACTATAGTTATACATCTATTGCCTGTGTTAACTTCTGCTATTTAATTTACTCGATAAATTGACTATAGTTTTCTGCGTTAGTAATCCATGCTCGGTAAGTTACCGTAAGCTTTAGCTAAATAAATATGGCACCATGAAGAATTACTGTAATACATGAGTTCTTCAAGTAACGTAAAGATATAATATATAGTAGATTAGTTTATGCTGTAATTTTGAATTAAAAGAAATCAAGTATAAAAACCTACAGATTAGTTAAAGCAGCTAGTCCAGCAAATGCGTTGTTTTCAACGCTGGAAATTTGATTGGAAGTCAAAATCCTAATTTGGGTAAATGATCGATTTAAATATATATTGGTAGCTTATGAAAGTCAGTATATATATAGAACGTGACCGTATGCGAAGTCGGTCACGTTCATATTATACATTAGAAAAAGATATGTACTGTATATCATTAGAATGAAATGCAAATAGAGCTTACAATTCAGTAAGATGATTGAGAGTCTTAAACGTGTTATTCTTCAAAACTGAGAGTTGATTATGAGTTAAATCTCTAGAAAACGTTATATTTAAGAGCATCATTAGATTTTTAATCCTTTTATAGAAAGAAACAGTTTTACCTCGTCGTAAAGTAGTATGAAATTAAAAGGTAGAATATCTTACATAGATGAAACGGCAGTTAGTCCGCTAAAGGCTCCAACTGCAATAGTATTGATAGCATTACCCTTCATATTTCTGCCCAACAATCAGGTCAATCCCACAAACATGATATTTGCCAAGGTAATCGATAAAGCAATTTTATATAATTTTATAAAATGTTTAGAATGGTATTGATAAAATAAATTGCTGTAACTAACTCTAAAGATTGTAAATTGCATTTAAAATAATTGCGATAATCTTATTTTGCTCATATTATAAGCTCTATCTTTAACAAACTGATAATGTCGCAAGATTATTTCTACTTACATGTGGGCGACATTGGGAAAATTAATGAAAGCAGAGGCTGGCACAGATTTAATTGCTGTGTTTTGCAATGTACTAATATCCAAAAAAATAACTTTGATTATATTATTTCTAGATATACATTAGAGTCTGATGTAGTGCGCTGTAACGAAACAAAAGAGTTTTTACATACAAGGTAGTGACTTGCGACATGGATGTGTTAGGCATTGGTATTTGACCTATCTGAGATCCCTTGCAAATAATGGTTGCTTTGCTAGGACATGTACAGTTAGGTAGACATTGTAGGAACACTATGCATCGTTATTAAATGAAAGATATTATCTAGTTAGCAAGAAGTCTAAACAATGCATCAATCTTGTTGAAGAAAATGAACTATAGAGGGTAGTGCAGAAATTTACTCTCTACATAAAATAAAGCAGAGAAAAATTTTATTGGCGATATAATGCGATACGAATGGCTAAAGTATATTGAAACGATTAAGTGGAACTAAGTCGATTCAACAATTTCGCTTAAATAATTAACTTTAGCAAGGTTTGCTGGCTAATGATAATTAGTTCTATCGATATTTTAGTTTTCTGGGCGGCTATCTGATGCTGATTAGATTATTTAGAGACAAACTGTAACTGTAAATCTCTATAGGTTTTACAATGACTAGCGGAGTTCACATTTGCAGGCTATCCCAGCGATATTCAGGGGAAAAATTATAGCATTTACTTGTGCACTATGATATTTAAAATTGACAGGGCTCATATTCGATTTTTTTTGTACCGGTACTTTACAGCTAGAATTAAACTTTATCGCTCATTCTAGTAATTTTTCTCTTTAGATCTAAAAATCGGATTTTTATGAAAGATAAAAGTTCGAGGATCCTATTGAGAGAATAGTGGAAGGAGTTTTAAGGACCATCTGTTGATATTAAAATTTCGGAAATGTATTATCTGATAAAGTAAAAGTAGGGTAAGGTAATAAAACTTCGATATTGATATACTTCAATATCCTACGACTTTATCGCTAGGTCCATAATTGTCGATATTAATAAAAAATTGATCGATTTCGGTTCAGCGATCAATTTGGCGATGCACATTTAAACAAGTAACGGCTGATTAGTGAGTTGAATAGGAATTAATAAGTATCAGCACAACCTATCTTCCAAAAGGAATACCTGCTGAGGGGTATACTACCAAAATGATGAATAATATGGCTTTGATCTTCATTTTTAGAATTATATTTTCGTGCTTGGATAGATCCTTCAGTGGATAAATTCCGCGGCGAGGTCAGAAATGATTGCTAGGAAAGAAGTTTATTAACATAAATATAATTAATACATTATGCAACAGTATTAATAACGGGATAACAATAGAATTAAATTAAATTCTTTAATTTAAGTCGCTTGTGTCAACAATACTCTTTTCTAAATCGATGAGATATTGTTAATAAAATTAAAATAATAATTGGTTTGTGATCAAGGGTTAACCTTAATCTCTAGTGTCAAAGGCATGTAAATGTGACTCAAGTTACTTTATCATCAGAGGAGATTAAAGAACCTTTAGAAATGCAGCTTTTGCAATTACTACTTGGGAGGAAATTACCAGGCCGCTATTAATGGAAAATTGTGATAACAGTTAATATTGTGCTACACCTGTCACTATTGTGTACTCAGGAGAATGGACTCTCAAATTGATCAACTTAATATAGAACAAGTACTTTTATATGGTCTCTTTGAAGTGTATCAATTTTAGAATATTAATGATCGCTGATTTATAATCGCATTTCTTGGTAGTTATCAGTATTATTTGGCTTGCTGCTTTATCAATGTCAAATTATCTATCAATACGAAAATAGCATCCTGGGTATCTGAAAAGATTTAAATTGGAATCAACAAATTGTGTATTAATTATATGACGTGCTTTAATTATATGCCAGGATATGAATTGGACTAGCCATATATATATATGTTACGGCCATTCCTAAGAATGATTTTGTCCTTAAGATATATATACCTGAGTAAAAGCTTGACTGTTTTTTAACGTTTTTTTCAGACGATGATACCGGTTAGCACGGTACTCCTGAAAGAGGCAGTCATTGATAGAGCACCTCGTTTCTATAAATTAATTTTAATCTAACCTTTTAAAGCACGTTATGACTACCCCCGTGAGATTTCAACCTCAAAAACTTAAAAGAGACTTTTATCTAATTTCAATGAGGATCTCTCTCAAAATGCCTTGTTAAGACTTTTTTAGTTGCAATATATAATATCCTAGTGAGTTAATATTCTCAATTTATAGCTTCAAACACAAATAAGATGACGTAATATCGTAGCATAAAATTAGATTGCGTCTGCATTGTCTTGCAGCTAATGTATAACTCTTCATATTATGTAATATCATTCGTCGAAGCCACTGCAGATGTATTCTAATTTTAGGTAATTACAAATTGTATTATTTTTTACCGTTCGTTTTATGCTCCGACGTTATGATTCAAATATTTGACGTAATTCGTCAGCTGCTAAAGCTTATTATTTAATTGTTATTAAAAAGCTGTTTATTAATGAAAATTATGAAAAGTACCATTACATTGAAAATATTTTACCTAGTTAGAATTTAGTTATAATTGAAAATTTAGTTCTAATTTAACTGTAAATTGCGCATTTCGTAATTCTTTTAGGAGCTACTGTTGCACTTAAGGTCATTGGATAGTGATTTAGAAGAGGTATCTACATGATGATGTATATTTGAACAGCTAATTGTAATAATTATGCTGTTCTACTAATAATCAATGCAGCCATAAAGCCCTGAATTTTAGGAGCTTATTAAAATGCGTGATACGGTCAATAATTAGTCTGTCATATTATAAAGAAGAGAAGAGTTAATTTAGTTAGGAGAAACTTTGAACGGAATTGGTTCGCTTTGAGTTTAAACTTTCTGTTCGGCAGAGTTAAGTTTTCTCCGTAATTTCCATTGGTATACATACATAGAGTATTATATAAACTTATGAAAGGTTTAAAGGTGTAGTCAATTATCATTTCGTTATAAATGAATGAATTGCAAACATATTTTACCAGGTTATGCAGACATTGTAGATAATAGAGTTATAGCAATTGAAATAGCAAAGATCATGATTTGATTTGCTTTATTTTCCGTCCTTACGGCGTTGTTGGTTGTACCAGTTGGAGGTATGCTTTGATATGATTGAATTAAAAATGAAACGTTAATGAAACTTATGTTACATTAAATTGGAAGATTATGATGTCGAATGTTCTAAGTGTGCCTTCTGATATGATATTACTGACTGCCATTTACGCCGCACTTGAAGTTTATAGTTATGACGTTAGCAGACTTAAAGTATGAAGTTTATTAATTAATTAAGTTATGGAAGCTATTTTAAATTTTATATTACCTCCTACTGCACATTCCAGATGCTGGCGGTGGAGTTGCCATAACATTTAAACATGTAGTCCCAGAATTTCCCGCACAATTGGCAGGCACGCGTGGCATGCAAGTAACGGATGCTGGAATGCCACAGCAGGCTTTAGAAAAGTTGCTATGTCTGCATGTTAAATAATTTACCGAATCATTACTTTTACAATTGTACTAAATCATTTTTTCTCGTTATAAATGAAGCTTACAGAGTTTGCAGCTTAGTAGCACTGGTAAACGCCTTAGATGAAGTACAGGCTAAATAGTTATTAAATAGATTTCTAAATAAAACCATTACACAAATTGATCAGTTAGCTGTACTAAAATTAAGTTCGCGTAGTTACTTGGAATTATTTTAGACATTAGGTAATTTTATAGTTTCGGTAATGAAAAAGTAAACCTTACATGAAGACGAGATTATTCAAGCCTTTAAGTGTATTGTCCTTAATAACAGTAAGGCGATTAGAAGACAGCAGCCTATCAGATTTAATTTACATCATAAACTGAGATATAAGGAGGAAAATGCTAACACATAATGGGATAAAATTTAATGTATATGAGAGTTTTAAAATCAAATGTGACACAATTATTCTAATAAAGTATGCTGCAATTTTAAAACTATTACAAGGTCTTCAGGCTCATTAAATCTTTAAAGGCGCTGTCAGTGATACTTGTAACGCAATTTGAGGTCAACATTCTGAAAGAGAATACTTTTAAATCTAGCAACATTTCTTTTATGCAATAAAATGACGTCAAATCAATTATTAGCCGCTGTAAAATGATCTCAAACTAGCGAAAGCATAGACAATGAAACCTACTTACAGAACCTGTAGTTGCTTCAAATTGGCGAATGTTTTGGCTGAGATGCTGCTAATTGCATTATACCCCAAGTCGCTAAAAGGAACATGCGATTATTTGGGCTATGAGTATAATCATTGCAAAAATTGAAAAGAATTTCGGTAACTACTGAAGCAATCTTTGAGTGTAGACGAAAGTGACTTAACGGCAACACAGCGCCTCTTGAGATATCGTGTATGCTACTGAAAACAAATAAAAAAACTTACAGTGTTTGCAATGCAGTCAATGACTGAAATGCGTTATCGGCGATGGAATGGATTTGATTCTTTTCTAGGTAACTTATGATTTGGAAATGATAGTCAAAATCTATTTAATTTCTAGCTAAGTGGCTTACGATTTCCTGACTGATTGATAAGTGACTACCGGTATCGATACGAGTATACTGTTGATTCGTTTAATTTGATATAGCAATATGCTCAAATTAAAAATAGTTGAATGGTTAGAGTTTAATATTATTTGAATTCTTTTAGCCAATATACGGTAACTATTTAAAGCTTTTAGTTATATTCTTACAGTTCTACAAGCTTCGATAAAGATCCAAAAGTTTTCTTGGAGATTTTGGTCAACATATTCCCATTTAAATCACTATAGTGACCAAATTAAGTGGTATTATGGCATTAAAGCAATAGAAGATATCCATTAGAGCAAGAATGGCATACTTTAATATGCACAGTTTCATAAGGTATATAGTAAATAAAAATTCTATTTCTATTAGAAGAAACCTGAAGATACTAACATGTGTTCCAGCATAAGATTGGAATTAAAAGAGCCATCTTCAATGTTAGTGATACGATTTCTGTTTAGCGAGCTGAAAAAGTTAAAATTTAATTTATATTGTCACTGAGTATCATACGCTATTGCAAATTGTTAAAGTATAAGGGATGGTATGATAAGCCCTATGTCAATTCTTTGAGTTAATTCCGTATCCTTATCAGCCCCAAATATATAGTACATGGTAACAGTACACGCCATTTATATCTGCAGATTATTACCTAACACATCCAGTTTGACTTACATCAATTTTAATAAGTTAGCAGGCTGCAATAAATTCTTGCTAATGGCTGCAATACGATTTGATTGTAAATCCCTTCGTAAGAGACGTAAAGATCAATAGTAATTATTATTAAATGCACTGTTTGAGCGATTTAAATTTTACGTTGCTTATAAAAAATCTTTTTCAGGCTTTTGTAACAATCGAAATTATTAGGAATAAATACAGCACCTATACTTTATTAAGCGTATAAATTAAGTTTATACGATAATTACGAATGCATCGGTCAAATAAAATTGATATAGATTATTCTTACAGGATTTTTAAATTAATAGCTCCAGTAAATGCGCTGTCCGGAATTTGATTAATTTTATTAAAATTAAGATACCTGCAAATGAAGTAGTTCCTATATCAGCTTTCATTTTCATCTAATTAATCAGTAGGTACAAAATTTTCAAATCTATTTTCACAAAGTTGACTGATAGTTTTGCAAATAAAATTTTCCATTGAAGAATTCTCCAAATATACAATTTATCACATACAATATACTTAATGTTGGTAAATTGAAGTTGTTGCTTTCAATTTTAGAAAAAGAGTTGTTTTTCAAATTCCTATATGCACATTTTTTCAATAATAACAGATATTATGGTTTAGAAAAATTTATTTCGTCCAGTTCTTAAATTAAATTTATAATTATAATTGCATTGGGACACAATATAATTTGTTGTGGAGATTTATAAAGTTGAAGTATCATTGCTAACAAAAACTCTTCTCGAAATATCTACTTACAATGTTGAGATCTGCTTTAGATTCTTCAAGGTATTGTATGGGATTTTAGTGATGGCGTTATTATCAAGCTTTCTGAAGAAAGATATGTAAATTCAATCAGTTTTACATTTTCTTAAGTTAATGTAGTGAAGGAAAGCTACAGCTTACTTACAGTATTTTTAAGGAATCTAAACTCTTAAAAGCGTTACTATCGATTGTTTGAATGTTGTTATTGCTCAAGAATCTAAAGAATTGTTAATTGCACAGTTATGACTTGCAGCTTACCCTTATACAATATACAAATCATAGCAAGTTTCGTAAAATGTCTAACTGTAATAAAAATAAACAACGAAATTGATCGATATTTTAGTTCAAAGTACTTACAGTTCTGCTAATGTACTTATTCTGACAAACAAATTACCGGGCATGGCTGTTAACTTGTTATTAGACAGATCACTTAAGAATAATATCAAAAAAACAGTCATAAATCGTCATAGCGTTAGTATATGGATTTAGTACTGTAAAACTATATAATCTAATGTTATTGTTGGCATTTTAAGAATCTTATATCGGCATATTAAGTACTCTAGAATCAAATTCATAAAACCACTTTACATGAATTAATTGTAAAATAGTTACAGCGAAGATAGAAAGAGGATTTTATCAAAGGCTTGAGAGGATACACTTCTGATTTGATTTTGCTTCATATCTCTATAATTTTTGATTATATAGTTTTGATGTTAAAACTTTGCTAGAAAGAATCTGCACACTTACGATGATGCCTTTATTTACAGATGGTGTTAAGCTAATCTACTTTTATATCAATTTATTGAATATTAGATTATACCAACTATAACTTTAAGGCATAAGAGTAATCCCAAATTGAAATTAGATTGGCTGATTAAAATATTATTATCGCATTCGTTCGATTAATTATTAATGATTATTTAAACTATCATAAATACAATAATTTGAAATTTAATTATATTAATACTTTATCTGATTAAATAGTGAACGGATGTCTTACATATGAAGTAAGGAAGGATAGTTTTCAAAAGCATTATAAGGAATATTGGATAATTGAGTCCCTCTCATTATGCTATCAAAGTAAACCGATTAAATCCAGTTTAGCGGCAATTAATTTATTGAAAGGCTACATTTTGCAATATATATCGTCAATAGAATTAAATTACAACGAATGATGACTTTCCAATCCAAAGTTGGTATGATATAAATAAACGACCTCGAATTTAAGTTATTATTATTAAGAGGTTTCATAGCAAAAACAATCTTGGCAAAGAACGAATATATTTTAATCAGAAATTTCTTCATAAAATTTAAAAGATTGCTTAAAAATAGTCCAGATATAAATAGTGCTTATAAAACTATTTTCATTGGTTTTTCTCGATTAAATAAGTTACGTTTATCGACAACAGTAAATCCGAGTAGAAGAGTTATAAATATTCTCTACTGTCATCTTCAATGACTATACTGTGATCTTTGTACTGTATATCTATCAAGATTTTGTATCAAAATTAGAACTTACATACGTATGTGTTACAGTGTTGAATACTGTGTTGCAGTAGAAATAACTATGTTAGGATAATTCTATTAGACTATCCTTATTTAGTTAACTTCTAATTTGGATATACTGTGTTTTAATATAGCACTGACTTTTTATGACAGTGACACTTATACACATACTGAAATTAATAGTTATAATGGGGAATGCAAATCATCTACTTACAGTTTGAATCATTGTGATTGTAATTTACTTATGGTAGACTGTAAATTATCATGGAAATATTCCGTGATAGGACATATCGTAATCTGACTATTCTGTATTAGTCATTACATGTCTATGTTTGTAAATACTGTTGTCTGCATTAAGGGAGCAGCAGCTAAAATTAATATCTAATTCAGTAAATGATTCCGAGGTTAATTGTATTAACTATGACTCATGAACTATTGAGAAGTAGTATATAAATGCAGTATATCGTGCAATAAAGTGAATTCTCCAACTTAGTGTTTAACGTAAAATACGAGGCGTTTAAGTCTTTGTGTAGTCTGCTAGTAGAGCAAAAGTGTTCGTGATAGTGCAGATATCGTTCCTTGATACGTGGTTCAAGGAATTGACTTATTGATCGTATATTGCGTTATCTTGTTGCAAAGCTGTTTTGTGACAGTATGATTAATTTTTAGTCGGAATACTATCAATAATAGTATCGAATGGAGATCGTTTTCCAGTTAATAATTTGAACATAAAATAAACTTACAAATTGGTATACTGAGTAAGCTTCGTAGGTGGGCGCGGTATACTGTTAGTGGATGAACAGTCGATTGTTTTGGAATCAGGACATTTGCAAGGAGTCGGGCACTGAGTATAAACTGTTATAGAGAGAAATAGACTGGGATTTAATTTTATAAATTTAAGGTAACTTAGATCAACTGAAGCAGTGTTAACAACTTTAAAAATAAGAATATTATAGTAGCTGATCAAGTCATGAGGATTCCAAGGGATAGATTAATATACTATTATCATTATATATTTTAGATCGATCATAACAATTGGATTTTTGATAAAAAACTATCAAATAGATTAGATATCAAAAAATTATTCTAAAAACTTGGCTTTATATTACTGAAAACCGGTGGCAATAAAAGGCCTGTTAGTATTTAATGAATACATAAATTATACTAAAGATTGTGCAGCTAGATTTACGATGTTATTAAATGCAATGATCTGTGTGTCTCCGTGTTCTTTCTTGATCTTCACTAAAAGCAACAGGTATGGTACCGTTCAGTTCTCTAAAGTTTTCTATTAAGCGCGCCATACTACAAAATCATCGATTTAGTAAACTGCCTATATAAGCTTATCTTGCTATTTAATATCTCTTACAAAGAGCTATGGCAATGATTTAAAATTTAGAATCTGCTTAGAAATGTGGCTGTAGAGCAACACTGCATGGCGGCTTCCTAGTAAAATAACAATGTCTTAAACTATTAAAGATGTTATCGTCAATTCTTTTAGATCGACTTTTGAAATAGAATTACTCTGTGTTATCTATGAGTTCGCATACATTTTACCTAGGGTACAAAGTATAGATTGCAGGATACAAGCAGCAGTAATATACTTCATTTTGATTTCTATTCCTGTTCCAATAAGTATTTCAGTAAATTAATGTCCAAATGGATTATGAAAGTTCCGAAGTAATCAGGAAAAATGGAGCTGTCAATTATAAGATTGACTTGTTAATAAACAGCTTTTAATAACTATAGTACCATCTCTTAGAGTAGAATAACAATTGCGAAACAACTTAAATAATGTACGGGGTCAATATAATAAAAGACGACTGGTGATTGGCTAAATAATCGTGAAAGACTAATTGTTATGAAAATTAAATAGCTAAATTAACTTTTCATCAGTTGTTCTTTATTAACCCAAATGTTGTATCAGGTATCCAATGGTACTGTGATTACTAAATTACCAATGATGAATTTAATAACATCTTGATTACAATACAAGCAATGATAGCCAACTTTAAAGTCGTAAAAACCAAAAACTTTGAAATAAAAACAATTAAGGGAGATTGAAGATCAGAAATTAGTGGTTAGGGATCCATACTTAATGAAATTATAAAGAGCTACAGCTACTTAATGCTACAATCTTGATGAATCAATCCTTTCAACTAAGGCTAGGATAAAAATTGTCAAACTAGTGCTAATTTTAACCAATACTAATGAAATTAAAACCTATAGTTAGTTAAAATCACTGAGCTTGCCTTAGAGTTAGTTGCTTGGATGGTTAAGACTACTTTAGAGGAAAGAATCCCGCCAATCTTTGTATTGCAAACTTGGTTGTGACATAAAGGTATAGAAGAAACGGTTGTGCTCATATACAGTATACAGGCGGTACCATAATAAAGTTGGCTAATACATATTTATGTCCCTTAACATAACCCTCTTGTTGGGTGCTTTTAATAGAAAGCTCATGTCTTGCAGTTTACGTAATAGCGGAATATAAAGTTTATTGTGCCAATACACTCTAAGTATGCAGTATTCAGTAGGATAAAGAGGACGTTATTTGATTATTTTCCTTTGATTAATATCTACATTCAGAGATTTGTATCACTTACAGTCTCATCAAGGACTACTAAAGAAAGATCTCATTGATCTAGTTTTCATAGATTCGTCACTCTGCTTGTCTAAACCTATAATTGTGCTATTCTCAGTCAACTTATACCACCTCAATTATTCTCAGCTTCGTTTATGATAACTGTTTAATCCAGCTACCGCAGGTTATAACCGAACGGCAGACTAAGTATGCTACATCTAAAGGATCTACGTCAAAATCTCGACCAATATCTAGCAAACGAAAGACATCAGTACATTCAAACTATAGCTGGAGGCTAACACCAACCTTTTTTTTACTACGAATTTACTAAAAATAAATAAATGAAATCGTTTGGTAAGCTAAAAATAGGCGGCTCAATCAATTTAAGCTATATCTGACTGTTTTCTAAATACAAGCTAAATTTTCTTACCGTGTTTTTCCTTCTATCGTCCATAAAAAAATCTGAAACACAACTTACAGATATAATGCCGCTTATCATATTCTAATTTATTATAAATTTATTGTTGAGACTTATAAGTATTAATTGAAATGTTTTGCGGTAAATAATTTTCAATACAGTTTTTCGATATTGCAATGGATAGAACATTATATGGAAGATGGTTATATTATAACGAAAATTGTTATAAAAGTGTTCCCCTGCCTTATGATGAAGTTGGGAGGTAAATATTATTGATGGTACGTACTACATTAACATCATCAAGTTATAAGCTATACTAACATTTATTGTTGCAATAGCGCCAAATATAGGTGCTAATTTAATACCACAAACGAATTTTTTTGTTAACAAATCAGAAATGAGTCAATTTACATTGAAATTCTATTAGAACTAGATAATTGTGTTGAATTCCTAGGAAGCATAGGAAACGTTAAAAAGATCTTCATGAAGTACAGCTAAATCCTCTAACAGAAACTAGACGTAGATAAGAGATAAAACAATTTAAATACTTCAGTAATAAATTAAATTTTATTTTAAGCGACTACGACTGAGTTTACTTTTCCAGTGTATTATATCGCATGTAAATCTGAAACCAACGTAAGATAATTTTAAATGGTAAGCACGTAGTAGCTACACAAACTGTATCATACAGCAATAGACCGCACAAATAGTTTTATATTTAAAGGATATCAAAACCGATATCATAATAAGAATTCGGAAATATCAAAAATTTTCTATTTTTATGCTGTTCTTATACGCTATACCACTTTAATCGAAATAGCTAATGTTACTACGCATGATAGTGTATTTAAGCTGATCGGCTAGAAGAATATACGACCTAATTTTTATCATTAAATGAGAAAAGATAATTCAATATCCACGATTATTTCCTATTATAGAATGGTTGAGGCATTAAAGAAATGTGAAGAAAAGAGATCATTAGTTCTTCGATATTATTTCTATTACGTCATTGCCGCAAACAAAAATGGAAATAGCTCACTCGAACTTGAAGCTGCAAATTTTAATAAATTTAAGGTCTAAGTTATTTATTTAGAAAAAATCGTTGCTGATGCTTATGCTTCTTCTTCATTTCACCTTACTGACTGACCTTCTTTTTGGAATAAATCAATCCCATAACGATATCTTATTTCCTTATAACCTACACCGTACCTGTAAGTCTTTACAATATATTTGGTTAGATCTCTAGTTTAATATTTATTCTTAAATATGAAACATGTTCGCGTTAGCTAATTACAATTCTAAGCGAAGTGCTAAAATGTTTAGTACTACGAAATAGGTATCAAAGCTATTTCGCTTAAGAAAGGGTATTATAGCATGATCTGCTATCATGCTTTCGTAAAATAATATGAAAATAGTCCTTGTTTTATATTGATATGCGGTTTTGTCTTAGTGGTTAGATCAGTACGTATGGCAATTTTTTTTGGTTGAAGCTGCAATTTTGTAATCATATTGCGATAATAATTCTGAAACTATCCTGAATAACAAGATAGCAAACTGATTCCATTGCAACAAATGTAGCAAAAAATGGAACTGGATTTGCCATCAAAGTTGATCTTAGTGCATAAATTGTAGTATACATCTAGCATACCTCATCTATTAATGAGCGCTATCAGCCAATCAAGTATCCATACCAGCAAAATGGATGATTATAAGGGGTAGTAATGTATAGCACCGAAGTAACAGAATACAGGCTGCTTAATAAATATAAATTTATTGACAGGATTTCAACATAGATTGCCTGTATCTCAAATGAGACTGGGTTGCAGATTGGTTTAATGATAGGGCAAGCAGTGGAAAAAAATGAAATAATTATTAACAACTTGAATCCTATAATTGGCAATTTCGTTACTTACTGATATCCATTCTTGACTTTATATGATTTTAATTGTTAAGAGCAATGAGAAACTATCTACACCAAAGTAATCATCAAAGCGATATGTCTTTGCCGTAGTGTGAAATATGTGATATCAGTAGATGATACAGCAAGCGTTGCAGTAGTGATATACGTATACCACCGTAAATATTATAATTTAAATTATTTACCTCTAAATTTTTGCATATTTCTTTATAGATAATTATACAATTTTTGTAATATTATCTGTATACTTATCATTACTATTTGTGTAAATGTAAGATTATAGTAAATTGGCTGATTTTGCAATCAAGTTTGGGTTTATGATTTTGTGTATTAGTAGTCTTTCCTTTTATAAAAATCCTATATTAGCAGTTATTACAAATACACAATACTAATACATTAATGGCTTAAAAGGTATTAATATATCAGTATGCAGCTGCATAATTCCAGTCTTCTAGCAGAGTAAAAAGACCTGTATAAAAAAGAAAAATAGTCAAGTTTGATCAGTTTTAGCAACAAACAAAGAGTCGTTGGTTATCCCACTCCTTTTACCAAGAACTACCAGTAGAGTAAAAAGTACTTTTTAAAACATTCTACAAGCTCTGCCTCAACAAGAATATAAGCATACTTATACTATAAGCTTTCTGTACAATTAGTCATCATACTACTTGACCACCATTAATCATATAAATATTAGAATATATCCCGTACGGTAGTATTTTTATGACATCTTTGCAGGCAAACAGACATAACGATGACAACGACATATTATAGAGATTTTTCTTTCTACCTCTTTTGATATACAGACAGCCGGACATGGCCTGATGCAAAGTACTGTACAGAACTATCCACTGTAAAGGGTACAGTCACCTGTGGTCCATGATACTGTACGGTAAAGTACTGTAGGTACAGTACAGCCATGCAGGCGTTTTGCTTGTTGAATCCGGGATTCAAAATGGCTGGTTAAAGTGTGAACTAGTTTCTTTGAATTAATCTTGTATTGAGGTAGCTTATCGAACGTTTTCCTTTACGCTACTATAATAGAATAATCTCCATACATCATTGTAGGATAATGGCTGTTTAATTTGCTTTATTTCTTCTTCATGCGAAGATCACTGGCACAAAGACTGGGCTGAAGTTTCGCTTCTCGATCGTTGGATTTGGATGGGCAAGAAGAGTCAAGGTGTCGTTGTTAGTCCATACTTTCTCCCGTCAAAGACTAAATGTAGTAGTGATGGCGAAGGAAAGTCAACTTCTCGGAAAGGTAACACCAACTTGGCTATTGTCAAAGCGAAGAAGAAAACGCAGCGTTCTCGTACAGTAGCTGGTATGCCATTGGATGATGTGTTAAAGCTAAAATTGCCGGATTATCTAGCACAAAATCTAGACCTACTATTTGTAGGTATCAATCCTGGTGTTTGGTCCGCAGCCTACGGACACCACTATGGCAATCCTAGGAATCATTTTTGGCCCTGCCTTTCTGAATCTGGACTAATCAACCAAAAGCTGACTTGCGATAATGATGCTGATTGCCTCCAATTTGGCATTGGATTTACTAATATAGTTGACAGAACGACACCTAGCTACGCTGACTTATCCCGAACAGAAATTAAAGATGGAATCGATGGTTTATTAAACAAGATTATAGCATTTAAACCCCGAATTGTATGTTTTAATGGTAAAGGTTAGTTTATCTCGAAATTATATCCAGTATGCCGCTAAAGAGACCTCGTTCTTACGTTAGCTCGGTCCATCCAATAATTAATTGAATCACTATACTGTAGGTATTTATGAAATCTTTTCCGGATCGAAATGCAACTACGGATTGCAACCAGATAATGTAACGGTCTTGGGAAAGACACTAACTTGCAACATTTATGTCATGCCATCAACTTCACCACGAACAGCTTCATTTCCAACAGCAAAGGATAAAATTAAATTTTTTCAAGAGTTGAAAGACTTGCGTGACAACTGTAAATAAAATTATAAAAGTACACTACAGCCTTTACTACTATAGATTATACTATAAAATAGTAAAAACTAAAAAGTATTTGACAATTAATTAATTGTACTTTCATGCATTGTTACAAACAACAACTTAGTATGTACTCAAACTTTGCGCAGTAAAGGTCAAGATATTGTCTGACTTTTATTGCCTGCAGTATATGATTTGACTGACTGTTATGTTTGATACCATGGAAGAATACCTTGGATTGAATTCAGCAACTATGAATCTTAAAGACTTTATTTAGGAAGCACACGTCCAATTTTCTAGTAGTCTTCTTGTACAATTAGTGTAGTCCATTATTTGTAATAAAATGCAACATGTACTTTCATTGCAGTAGGCCTTAAATTAACTTAGTTGTTAAAAGATTGGGGAAAATCGTATTCAGTCTGAAATATGTTGATATTGTTAGAATGCAAGAGTGATGAAGAGCATCGAAATTCTACTTTATAAGCACAGCTTTCATTGTATTCCTTTAGATAAAATAATGAGATTATGGATGGTCAACTATGGATATTATTATTTCCATCTATACTATTATATTATTATACTACAAAATCGTACTCTGACTAGAGATCATTTATAGCGTCTTTTATAAGCCAAGGAATTATTCAATATAGCAGCTCTTTCAGAGGACATTATTAATATTTGTCAAGTCATAGCGTAATAGTAATTACGAAAATAAATATCAATTCTTTATTATAATTATGAATAAAAGTTAAAATATGTCGTACAGTACGTGCAATAATTAGGAATTATTCACATCAATCATCCATGATGGTCTCGATGGAATGATTCAATAAATGTAATTCACGTATAGAAAGGACTTATTTTAGACGAAGCTAATCTGCAGTTCTGTTTACTTTCAAAGATTTATTTTATATCTCGTTGACAAACTAATACCCGGATGCTCGTTAATTATTTGATGTGGATTAATCGTTATGTATTGTGGCATCTTTAACAGCATTAGAACAAATTAGAATTATTAATACGTACTCGTAAATGTAAAGCCTGAAGCCAATAAAAAGATTTTATGGAACATAAATCTTAATATTTTCGAGTACCCTTAAAGACAATCATTCACAATAGTAAACTCTCGACATTCGTACTCTATTAAAAACCAAATGCACAGATGCCTATCTGTATACAATCAAAGGAGTTTGTGAATTACTTTGACTTAAACTGATCATTCATTAAGATTAATCGGATGCCCCTATTTTTACTATACTAAATCGCTCCTGTTAAAAAATATTAAATGGAAGTCTGTTTCTAAATAAATTACGCGGGACCTTTTTTCGAAAATACAGGCATCCATTTATCATATCTTCAGTATCCAGAATTACTTACTGTAACATTTGAGTTAATCGTTACGCTAGAGTGGCTCAAGTATCTTTTAAACAGAAAATTAGATTAAAGAATGTTTACCGATGACTTTCTAGTAATCTTTTTGATTGATATCATTCTACCGATCAAAAGTATTAAAATTAACAACTACGACTAAGGATGATGATCATTCGGTAACTTCCTCGTAGTAAATTTCATGAAGGCGAAATGGATATCCATATTCCAGGAGTAAATGTACTGGTATAAACTTGCCAATAAACTCATATGTGGGTGTCACAAACCGGAATTGCTTGTGGCAAGGAAACGCAAGATAAAAGTCCTTAAGCAAACTTATAACTTAAACGCCCTTTTTATTTTACGTAAAGACGACTTATATACCGTGCATTTGTACAGCATACAGTACATTACAGTACAGTACAGTACTGTACACAGTACACGATATAAAGTTACTGAACCTCTGACAGGTCTACACGGTACGGTATAAAGTTACTGAATCTCTGTTAAATGAGCACATTATCGTAAACCGTCAGTAAAGCGACGGGAGTTTGCACTAGTAACAATAACAAGAACAACTTCGATACCTCATTACACATGATTACGATTAAGAGATAGTATAAGATTATTCTATTAAGTCATAGTAATCATTATTACATATTACCGATACTGTCAAACAATCCATTTAACATAATATGGTCATATATCGACAATAATTAGTAAACAACAACATCAAGTTATCATCAGTTCTACCATATTAGCTAAGATTACGTAAATCTATTCAAATGGTGAGATAACACCGTAACAGTGGGCTATTTATTTGTAGTGTTCTGGAGTAATAGCTACTGTATCCTTGTTAGTAAGAAAAGGATTTGATTTATTCATCAATAGATTAACGGTGATCTTTGTAGAAAGTAAATAAATTGCTTTCAATTAATGGATTAAGCGTCTGAAATCGACTAAAACAGGATTTGGAGAAGGGATGATTAGTTATTTAAAAAAGAGTGCATAAATTAAGAAAACAACTAAAAGAATCAATTCTATTAAGATGATTGAAAGCTTTCTTAAAGCAAGCACTTATTAAAAACAACTAAGTGCATTTTTAAATATTAAGTAAAATCGAGGTTTATAGAAAATATAATTCTAGACTTCATGCAATGCAGCCTCGAGTTAGCTTAAGGCCAGAATTATAAGATTGTATGAAATAGCCCAAGTTATACCATTGGTTATAAGTTTTTATTGGTATCTTCACTATTTTTAGGTGATATTTATGGCAGATAGTATAACCAACTTAATATAATTCATACGTTTATTTGAAATAGGCGAGACAATTGTAGACTGAAGGTAGATAGTCTTCGACAGATTTAGGTGAGCCAATTTTACGTAATAAAGTGAAATTTACCTGCAACACTAGTTCTAGTTTTAATATTTTGAATACACTTTATTGCACTTTATAAACTGTTTATTAATAGAATCTAATTGGATACTTCACTAAATGAGTATTTTACTGCGTTTGATTTCGTTTTGTCTTAAGTTCTTGAATACTTAATGTTATTACTTATATTACCATATATTAAGCATCATTAGCGGCGGAGAATAGTGTTAGGTTTTGTTTACCCAACTCCGCAACGATAGCTTCTCAAAATGTAAACTTGAATAAAAGGGATTTACGAATACTTTGAGTTAATCGTTCACTTAAAAACGGTAGTGTTCATCTGTATTCAAGTGAAATGATGATACCAGTACATCTCGAGTATATTTCCAATAGGATTAATAATTAATTATACAGAAAATATAATAATATCTCCTTTTCTACTTTACACATCAGTAATTTGTTCCTCATTCCTAATGAGCCCTATTATCTTGGCAGAAAGAAGATAGAGTGAAGTTGTTTACCGAGAATTAAAAGATAGATTTTTGTCAGTGCGATACAAAATTGCTAAATTGCAATTATAAAGTTCATCAGCAAAGTAACCGAAGCAGCATTAAATACTTCATTTAGAATGAAGATTATGAAGTATTTCGGCCAAAACGTGTTATCTATTGCACATATAGTATTAGCTAGTGATAAATTCAATCTAATTTAATACCTTGACTTGAATAAACAGATTTCACGGCTAATAATTGTGTATTAATCTTTTAATTGTGATCAATCCCACGAATACAGTCAATAGTGTTCATATGCCATTGTACGGATAGTTATAATTATAGCTATTTTTTGGTAAATCAGCAAATAATCTGTATAATAGCACCATTCGCATTAATTAAAACAACAAGAAAGTGCATTAATTCGTACCTTATCAAACACAATTTATTACACGAATGAGTAGTTCAACGTATTTTTCACTCTTAACTATCTTAAGAGAGATTCTTACACGAGTTCCTTATTATATGTTTAATAAAAGATATCCAAGCAAGCATAAATATTTAATCAGGAGCAAATTCTGACTGCAGCCGTCTGTCGCGGTACGCCATTACTAATTAAGTAACTGTTGATTAATGAATGCTTATGAATAGATAAGATAAGGTTATGTGCTATGTTTAATGCGTTTGTAGCTGATAATAGGACGGTAGAAATGAGATAGAAATATAAGTTGTTAACAGTTAATTTACTGTAGGTTCGTAAGGTGTGTTAATCTCTAAAAATTGAGCCGTATATGAACAAAGGTTAAGCGTCTTAACACCTGATAGCTTGTAGCTATCTAAGTCTGAGAATATCGACATGTATATTTAGTAATGGTATTATACTAATTAATGTAACTTGTGAAGTATGAATTCTCACTCGTTAATATTGGAATTCACTGTAGAAACCTATTTAAGCGCGTGTGTTTGTAGAATAAAGTTAGTAATTGCTCAAGAACGGCAAGACTCATATCGTGAAGAATAGTGTAATAATTAGTCAGTTTTCTGTGGAGATCAGCCGAGAAATCGAGTTCTCAAATACTTCTCTCATGGAAACTGAAAGTACTAGGAGAAATAGCCCAAGTTTTAAGTAACTACACTAGAGTTCTTTACTTTCCTTTGCCACAAGTGAGGGTTGTGACACCGTTGTACTTATTGGACATAAGATTATTAATTAATGTAATCTAAAATGAATGAAGTTCTTGAACATCGACAGAACAGGAACTTTCTAAATATTTTTCTAATTATAATTAAAGAAATAGGAAAACTATCCAATCACTTGTTTTGGCGTCTACTATTTTAGCTTTTAGTAACTTGAAGATTCAGACTGTAGCAATTATTATTACATAGCTGTGTACCTGTTTCTACAATTTAGCAGCAATGATTGATAAGTCATGCCGACCCAGTTAATTTTGCCATTGGATAATAGCATCATTTACCTATCGAAATATTCTTTGATCGAGCCATTTACCTAACTGACGCCATGGCGACTATTCAAGAGACATTATAAAGCTATTCTTATTAGTGGTTATGGTATTGTTGAGTGATAATTATAGGGTATTTGCAAAGCCAGAACTCCTAGTGAAAAAGATTTATAGAAAGCATGCCTACCATCCAATAATAAGAAAGATAAGCATCAAGAAACTCATAGCCATTCAATTATAGTCACTAATGCTATATTAAAACCGCCTTATTGCCATGATTTGATAACAACATTGGATTCACCTGGAATAGTG